TTACACTGACGGACACGAGCAAATAGAGCCTGGGCCCCTGACCCATACAACACAGCATAACGGCTCCTGACAAGAGTGAAGTTCGACTGAAAGTTAGGTTAGGTCACTTTGACTAGCTTCTTCCATTCTTCACGATCATCCATGTTCTTCTTCAGTTCCTCAGTGGTCAATCCAGTGTCTTTCCTTAGCTGCTCCACACAAGTAAGTGCTGGTCTTCCTTGCTCCCTGCTTCAGTTCCCAAAGAAGCATTTGACTTACAATTTCCTCCTTTTTCTTCCACATGTGCCCTATGAATTTCAGCCTCCTTTCCTGTCGCACTGAAGTTATGCTGCTGAGTTCTCCATACAGCTCTTTGTTTGTTTTGAGATCTCTACAAATAAAGCCAAGTACTGCTCGTAGCATCTGGATATATGTTCCATCTAGTATGTTGTTCATGGCATTTGTAAGTGTGCACCATGATCATGTAAACAGGACAATCTAAACTATGCAAGTTAGATTTCCATACTTGCATACTGAAAGCAAAGCATAGCAAGGCCGGAGTGAAACAAAAATGAGAGTTGACGAGAGTTCGATGACAGTTACAACTCTCGCATTGTAAGTACAAAGTCAAAGACTGTGACCATGCAAGATAGTCTGGCATTGAAACCGAACCTTCTGGGTTCTGAAACTGGTGAACTTGTACCGTTTTTACGGACACTTTCAAGAGACTAGACAACTATGACCATTCGTTATCAATGTTCACCCATGCTCATACTGAAGTGTAAAAAGGTTGTAGAAGGATAAAATGAATTCTCAGTCCACTCCCATGCACTTTCATCAACTTTGAACTGATTCAAATTTTGATGAGAGTTTTCGCTTCTTAACTCTCATGCAACTCTTGTTCTCGTTTGACCAGTGTATGAGAGTTGAGAAAACTCTCGTACAAACTCTCGCTTCTCAACTACTCTCATCAACTCTCATGCAACTCTTGTTCTCGTCTGACCTGACCAGCGTATGAGAGTTGAGAAAACTCTCATGCAAACTCTCGCTTCTCAACTCTCATGCAACTCTTGTTCTCGTTTGACCAGGGCATGAGAGTTGAGAAAACTCTCATGCAAACTCTCGCTTCTCAACTCTCATCAACTCTCATGTAACTCTTCTTCTCGTTTGACCAGGGCATGAGAGTTGAGAACTCTCATGCAAACTCTCGCTTCTCATCAACTCTCATGCAACTCTTGTTCTCGTTTAACCAGGGCATGAGAGTTGATAAAACTCTCATGCAAACTCTCGCTTCTCAACTCTCATCAACTCTCATGCAACTCTTGTTCTCGTTTGACCAGGGCACGAGAGTTTGACCATGGCATGAGAGTTGAGAAAACTCTCGTGCAAACTCTCGCTTCTCAACTCTCATTCGCTTAAAGCTACTCAATATTCAAACAATACACTATCTGACATAATTACAAGAGATACAACAACAGTTAAAAAGTTTTAAATTATTACAAATTATCACAAGTGTATATTCTAACAGCCAGCTTTGGACAACAACTCTGACTGATAATTATAATATAGACAATAATAGCCAATTCCATTCCAGAAATTCAAAACTTAAAACGATATACCATCTTCAAATTGACAGTGATCGTGGTGATCCTTTAAAACCAATAAATTTAGAATCATGAAAGGGTTAACAATACTGTAGTTCACATTTGTTTCGGAAACCTTTGTTTCCCCAAGCCAATCACAAAATATACCATTTAAATTTTCAAACTATTTTCGCATGTAGACACGGACGAATTCTGAACCCATAAACAGTTCCAAGAATTCATCTGGTCCAGTCCATTTCAACCAGGGATTTAAAGCATGCAGGACGGCAACGCGACGACACCAGCCAAAACAAAAGTCTTCAAATAAATAACTTTAAGGAAAACGTGTCGTGTATTATCTGTTGTATGAATTTAATGCAGTTTTAGAAGGTTAAGACAGGGGCTTTTAAGGGAGCGGTCATTATTTATGGCAGGGCTGGCACCGAAGAGAAAAGGGTTGGGTAAACAAAATTTTGAGTGAGAACAAGGTTGGGTGAATGAAAAACAAAACAACTCAAGGGTTGGGTAATGAAAATTTATGTACTATTTAATAAACGAGCAGGAGTGTTTTATCACATATAAAACACGACGCGTAGCGGAGTGTTTTATATGTGATAAAACACGAACTACGAGTTTATTAAACAGCTTCAAAAACGTCTCAGTTAGATCACGGCATTGGCGAAATAATTTTCCAAAATAACTTTGTATTAGCTGAGAAAATACAAGTTGAAATTTGAAGCGTGTTTTATCACATATAAAGACACGACACGCTTATGATTTCTCTTTGTGTTTTCCTCATGAATGTCATTTCCAAAGCATGACTCACTCGAATATTGAAGACTAACGGCACGTATTCTAAAAGCTCACTCACACTCAATGAGTGGAGATTCAATCTGAGCTTCTCTTTAGTATCAATGGTATTTTTGAATAGCTGGAGGGATAGTGTCGTACCTTACTATGTGACTACTAACCCTCCAGCTATTCAAAAATAGCATTGATACTCAAAAGAAGCTCAGATTGAACCTGCACTCATTGAGTGTGAGTGAGCTTTTAGAATACAGGCGTAAAAAGCAATGTCAACAGTCATGCTAACTAATCAAGGGTCATATGTAAACTAATCAAGAGTCAATATGTATACAAAGAGTGATATGTAAACAAATCAAGAGTCATATGTAAACAAATCAAGAGTCATATGTAAACAAAGCAATGTCAATAGTCATACTGTATGCTAACTAATCAATAGTCATATCACTCATATGTAAACTAATCTGATTAAGAGTCACTATCTTGACCATTTTCCGATTTGTTGGGAGGCAAGTTGTGTCTCCAAAGAAAGGTGGACTTTTTAATGGTTGGGTCAGCAACATTTTTACCATGAAAAATATTACCCCCGCCATAACTAATGACCGGTTCCTAAAGCCAATTTTGAGTACCATTTCTCTAGAGGAACTTTAAATTACTCATTTCTTTTCCACAGAATCATAAATTTCATTGTATTAATAGCTGTCGCCGTCCTGCTAGCCAAAGACCCCATTATTAATCCAACTGATAGAGGAAACCCGTTTTACACACAAGAAAAAAATTGTACCATTTTTAACAATCATTACGAGTATATGTTAGTTATATTTTTAGGAGATTTCGACCTACGTGTTTACCCAATCAGTAGGATTTTACTTTCCGCTAATATAAATTATACAAACGCTTAATCTCTGAATTGTTTGTGAAAATATAGGACAGGATTCAAAAAGCTGTCTCGGCCTGCTGCCTTCTTATTATAGTTAAGTGTATCGACAATTAAATCAAGTCTATTGGACGATTATTCACGTGTTTGCTCACGAAGTAGTTGTCTTGAGCTCCTGCCCAATTTTGTAGCCAGCGATTTTATTCCAATCCAATCTCGTTCTGGTCACGGGTAGTTGTCTACGCAATGCTTTGAATGTCGTTTGCGACATTGTACTGTAATTTTCTGATAATGCTTTCTGAAATACACAATTGTGTCAAACATTACTAAGTGACCACACACCGTAAAATCGCGCAAGTTGTTATACAGATCTACAAACAAGTTGTGACAAGATGGTCGTCAAACCGATATCAGGATGCGTTCACACGGCTTGTTTGCAGTTGTTGCGACAAGTTTGGAACAAGTTGTTATCACCTGTTACAAGGTTGATGGCGGTAACAGACTTGCTACAAGTTGTTCCAACAGGACTAATACAGGCTGTTCGTAACAAGTTGCTACGTCACAGGGCTTCAAATTTGCAGTATCCCGATATCCACAGGATACCATATTTTAAATTTGGATACTGGAAATCACAAGCTCATGCAGTATCCAGTGGGATGTTATATCTATTGCATCTTCGAATGATATTTCACTGCAAACATACCTGAGTAACATTTATTTTGAATTACGTTTTACAGTAATTATATTATCAAATAGACCATTTGCATTATAGACTAAATTTTTATCTAGACAAAAATTTCATCACAGCTAGAAAGAGCATGACAAAATTAGTAATATTCCAAAGTTTCGTTGCGAAATGTTGTAAAATGCGGATAATATAGCCTTGCGAAGTTTTCCGTTTTTCAGTCATTTTGTATTACGCACGGGAAATTGACAGCCCAATCGGGTATATGTGGCATGAAGGACAGTTAGAAGGATTTCCAGAAATGAAAAAAGAATGGAACATGCGATCAACGAAATGTTCAGAAACAACTTTAGCTAGTATTCCAAAGGTCGTAGGTTCGATTCCCACCGTGGTCAGGCATATTTTTCAAGCTTGCCCGGTGTGGATATACACTCAGAGTAACATCACAAGCATCAACTTTATAATTTCCAATAAAAAATCACGTGTCAGATGTTGGGATCCATGGTAACCCCAGAGTTAATTACTTGCAAGTGACTTGACCTAACTGCACAGCTGGGTCAGAAGGTCCTGGGCGCATGGTAAACCCCTCCTAGAATCTCTCTAACCCTCTTATAAAGTGTTCAACCCCACCAAACTTTTGCTTCACCCCTCCTATTTTGTGTGAAAGTCTTTAACATTAACGCCTAACCCCTGTCGAAGCTCGCTAGTCGCTCAGTGGTGCCGCTTGCACCCCACCAGAATTTTTTCTACCCCTCCTTTAAAAAATGAAAATCCGCCCTTGCCTGGGCGTACTGTGCGGTATATCAGAAATTTTCCAATATCTTTTTGCAACTTGTATACTCCCAATTATTTCTAATAAATGTATATAGAATTTCCACTCGGTAATTTCCATCTAACAAAACACTCCAACTTTTATTCAATCGAGTGAGATACCAACAAAATCTTGATATACACTACAGAAACCCATCCAGTCCTAGTTCATTTGCCTTGCTCGCAATAAGAAAGTAAACATAGTAATATACAGGAATGCAAACAATTTACCTGAAAACTTTCTTCTTCATCTTTTATTACATCAACTATACTTTTAGCTGTGCCATTTTCACTCTGAAATTATCAATGACAACTGAACGGTTATCGTATGAACACTAACAAGACAATTGGCAGATGGTTTGGTTAACACAATAAAGCCTTATACAGACGAGAACTTTTTCCTTGACAAGTTTTATAATTTATATCGTCATGTGTACGGCAAAACAATTACAACTTTTCCTTGCCAACGAGACTTGTTTTCCTTGCCAACAACTTTAGCACTTTGTAACTTTCCGTTCCTATTCTGCGGAGGGTTTTCCTGGGTGCAAACTGGCCTTCCTATATTACTAAAGATCTAATGAAGAATGTGTCATGTTCGTTTTGTAAGGGCTACTGTAATTGGCATAAACTGTAGCATATACTGTACCCTGCTACGATTGATAAGTTGTACATTCTTGTGTTTGTGCAGATTGTGTAAAATTGGCAAAGCATAATAAATAAACAAATAAATTATTCCAAAGCTGGTCATGCCAACTATTGGACAAGGAAAATTTGTTCGTGTCAACAGCTGCCAAGGAAAACTTTAGCCTTGGATAAGAACTTACAGTAACTTTAACTTCTGAAGTGATTTCTTTAGAAGAGACAAGCTGGACATTACCATCCTCATAATAGTGCACCTACAAGTTTGACAAAAGGAATCCAAGATAGTTAATTAGAAATCTGCTAGATTTTAGCTGATCACATGACCAGCTCCTACCAGGATCTTTCCTCCACAAGAGCCTGGGAACGAGGTTGAAATCACTAGTTTACACAAGAATATACCAACCTGTACTTTAATTAACCCCTTCAGTTCTGATGTTGAACCAGGGCCTTGAAATGATATGGTCCATTCTGCCCTCCATCGCCCATTCCTAAAAGTGCAGCAAATTAAGGTCAAGAAAACTTACATCGGATAAATAATAGCCCAATAAGCTGCATTGCACCCTAATGTGCCCTACTTTATTATTGTACTCTGTCTAATGCCAGACGATTTTACATGTTAAGGGGAGAGAGCATTGATGCTCAATCAGTCAATGGGTTAAATTAATATACTTAGCTACTGTTGATGTATTTTGTCATTTTGTAAACCATAATTTGAAGGAAGATGCATTAAACCTACCAAAAGTTCTGTGGCTGGAACTGGTGGTCCTCACAACAAGCAATTAACGTGATATTTCCATTGACATTTTTACCATAAACCTAAATGACAAAACATGGTGTATATATAATTACAATATTACCATTTGCATTGAAGGGTTATCCCATTCCACGATAAAAAGTTGTTTCTGAGTTTTGCAACTAACATCGTGATTGGACAACTTTACGTTTCACATGTCAAAATATGACACAGGCCGTAACTTTGCATTTTGCAACAGTCATTTTCTATTCTGTGATGAGTCTTGACCGAAAATAAAGTTACAAGGACTAATATTTTGCACATGGTTGGACAAATTAGGGGCATTTTTTGAACAGTATGTAATCATATAATAATCATGATCCAAAATGTATGTAATCATACAAAATACTAACTAAAACAGCAAAAGTGCCAAAAGAGGAATTTATAATTTCAGATTGTTTTTGTTTTGACTCAATATGGAAGAGGAAATGACTATTGCAAAACGCAAACAGCAGTTGCAAAACTCGGGAAAAACATTTTATCACGGCGTGGGGTAATGCTTAAATGCAAAAGGTAATAAACATACTTTATTATATAAACATAAGTGTTATATAGAGTTTTTGGCCACTGATAAAAATCGTATTTAAACACATGTAAAAAATACGATATTATTACGTGTGAAAATATCATTTGTTGTAAAACGCATTGCCACGGACATTTTATTGTTTTTCACTGGATTTTGTTTATATTTATTAACAGAAAAATACATGGGTGCTTGGAAATACCAGATTTATTTCTCGTATTGAACATGATATGTTCAACACTCGAAATAAATCTGGTATTTCCGCACACCCATGTATTATTCTCTATGTATTCCATTCTAAATTCAAGTATTCAACACATTAAATGGTCTGAAGGTTTGTTTACAAATATATGTTTACCGTGCCAATGCCATGTGGATAATGATTTTGAATGTATTTTCTATATTCACTATCCAGCTGTTCTCTCCAAGGCTCTGCCTCTTGATCGACATCGATAGGCTCAGCATTGCTGGCTTCCTAAGGATTAGAAAAATAAAAATTATTTTTACAAAATATTTTTACAAAATTCAGGAGTAAATCTAGGTTAAGGGTGTAGTTTTTTCAGGGGTTTCATATTTCTCCAGGGGGGAGGGGTTTCGGTTTTACTGCATGTCAACAACTGGTAAATGTTAGCAATCTATGAGGGTACTGGAGATTACATGGGGATGCAACCCTCTGGCCAACATTTAAAATAACTTACCTTTCTTAAATGGTCATAGCTAAATTTCTGTTTTGATTTTGGATCAATAAATGTACCATCAGGCAGCTCTCCATGTGATGTCACTAAAACCTACAGAAAAAGGATTAGGGTCTGCAAAATGCTATTTCATTCACTTTAGACATGTTTTATGATAATCTGAAAGCCACAGATCAGGTAATGACAATATTTATAATCCAAAAATACAGATACACTGACATTTCAGTATTTTGCTGCGCATGATACTGGATTGAAACGCTAGTGAAAATTCGCCTACAATCATGTTTAGAAACCAAAGTAAATACTCACAGTTGAATGTGGTCTAGGAATACTGAGACAACTTTAATTATAATACTTTAGTTTGTGGAAACACCACGTAAATTATTAATATTATGTAACCGGAACTATTTCTTTCATGGAAGAGCAACATTTCTAGCGAAAGGAAATTTTGGTGAAAATCAAGAAAAAAGAATCTTGGATTTTGGAAAGTGGAAGTACTATTTGTGAAGAAGCAAAACTTCTTTCAACTAAATAATTGAACCTATAATTGCCACTTAGCATCGTTAGCATATTTTGAAAATGCAAATCTTGTGATATATTGACACTAACAACAGTAGGTGTCACATAAATATTTGTCAAAACTTTTTTTCTCTGTAATACATCCCCCTGTGGCTTACGCTCCCTGTGGCTACGATACCTGATGTTCAGCGCCTTCAATCTTCACTGGAGTAAATTGTTCTTTGTTATATTGTGAAAATGAACTGGAAAAGAAAGGGGTCACACCCTTTTAGAATGAAGTATAAGGGAAGGGAATAGTGTGACTGATGTATAGATCATGGTGTAGTATGTAGTCAATGAATTTATACAAAATATTTGGTTTCACTGAAAATATGGTGGGTCATTCCAGAAAAGATCAATCCTGCCCCCAAGGAGGAAATTTCTACAGTCTGAAGGGGGAGGGAAGAAAAATTTGTTTCTGATGATAGTAAGTGTATTAGGACTTCCAAAGCAGGTAGGGGGGTTAACTTCCAATCTCCTCTGTGGGAGAGGTATGGATGCTTTCTGGATTGACCCAATGCTGCTACTCCACCATTTCTTTATATTTGCCTCCGCCCATGATGATTTTTAATTCACTTGATTCATCTAAAAACTTTGCCGCTATGTTTACGAATACTTTCATTGACCTTAGAAATGACTACGGCACACAGTAAGGTGACGTCAAGGGTCAATTTTGTAAGTGATGAGATCATGAGAGACAGAAAATTGTCATTACAGGACAAAAAATTGACAGCAATCTTTGGCTGACAAGGATTTTCCAATATTGTGAGCACTGCTGAGATACCCTAGGTTGATTAAGTAATGCTATCGATTGCCATAGATAAAACCATTGAACTATAAATACACTGGAACGATAAGTTCGCCGCCATCTTTGAAGCCGGCCATGAGTGTTTTCTGCAGGTAGCCCCAGTCCTTTTTAAAAATTTTTTTGAAAATGTGCACATTTTTCGATCAGAAAAATCTTGCCCCAAAATATTAGTTATACCACCAAATTTAATTTATATCAGTAGTATGATAAACGAATTTAAAGGCACAGTTCAGCCTGTTGAACGATGGTTTTTAAGGCGCATTCCAGCCCTTTTAATTGAAAAAACTAACTAGGAAAATCAATTAAGCATAATTCAAAATCAGTAACCTCGATGTTTTTAACAATATAAAGGTTTTAAATGTTAAAAACATTAAGTTTGGTGATCTTGAATTATGCTTAATTGATTTTCCTAGTTAGTTTTTTCAATTAAAAGGGCTGAAATGCGCCTTAAAAACCATCGTTCAACAGGCTGAACTGTGCCTTTAATATTCGCAAATCAAACAAATCACGAATTAGCAAAAAAATACGAAAAAACACGACCATAAACATAAACGGTCAGAAAAACCATGCATTTTAGGCTGGTTTTTCTGAGTTTTTGAAAGTTTAAGATAAAACTAAGACGTCATACCTCAGGAATTATTTAAACCCATGCAAAATACATCTGTATGCGAAGTTTCAAGAAGATTGAACGTTTTAAGGTTACATTATATGATGAAACTCTGATTTTGTCCAAAAAATTTTTTTTATATATTCATATTAAGTAATGATATATCTCTCAATTCCAGCAACTTTTTTAAGAAAATGTTTAAAAGCGACCGAGATATAGGGGGAACTGCTATGACCACTGAATAGCTTCGCGCGAAACTTGTAATTATGATTGAACTTTGCTGGCGTCAAATATCAAGGTGTGAAATTCACTAAAGTATAAGCCGTTTGTTATTGCTCGGAGTCATATATCATTGCGACAACTTTAGAAAGCTTATGATATAGTATTTACAGAATCTCTCGATGTTCAAACTATGCGCGATGTCGGCTTCGTTGATTTTTCTAATGCGTTTGCGTTTTGTAGTCTATAGACTAGAATTGGCTATAAATATAAATGTGATGAACACCTTGCCAAAAATATTAAAGTTTGGTTGTTTGTGATTGGTTAACCACACGAGGTTACAAGTGGATTAACATTGGGGGCGGAGAAAATGACAGAAAGAGTGTAAACCTGGTCAAATCTTAAATCCTCGTTTGAAGAGAAAGCAAAATTACCCAATCTCCTCGACAAAAAAGGGTTTAACGACAGAGCGTTTTATCCGATTCGTCCCAAACTTGGCCACAATGTTAATCAATAATATAAGAACGAAAATGTGTTCGCGTTTTCGATTTAGTGCATTATTTTTCAATTTAGAAGCATCTCTTCAACCGCTTATACACGCGCAAGATAAGTCAAGTTGTCTGCTTTATATCAAAGCGAATACAATAGCTGTCAAAAAATGCGAACACATTTTTCTTCTTTAGACATTTGAGATGAGAAATATGATATTTTGGGAGCTCCTGAGTTAAACGGTCTGTCGTTAAATCTCGTGGCGCAAGAGGTGCTATTTTTTAAAAGATGTCTTATTGCGACTACAGGTTAAAAGGTGGTGAATTTTGGTTAAAACAGTAGCTTCTACAGTTAGTTATCATCGCGTGTACCAAATTTGAGGAACGTAACTAAAAAATTGAGCACGCAGTGACAATTTTTCTGAAACAGGAATCTATCATATGATGTAACCTTAAGGTCGAAAAAAAAAGCATTTAAAAAATGACAAAAATATTGCCATATTCAAAGTGCTCATAGTGGTCAACAAGAGAGAGATGACGAAAATAACATCACTTGAAAAACGCCAATTTATTTATGTTTTAGAAGGAATGAAACAAGGACTAAAAGCTCAGGATCAATAACGATACCGGGGGTTTAATACAACACAAGTTTTGGGACTGTCATAATGTTTTACAGTATATTTTTTTGAGTTGAAGAGTGAGGTTTCCTTCGGCACGTCCAAACTTTCATCATTTTTTGCTGCAGAGAGATGTAAAACAGTCAGAACTAATCGGCAAACCTGGTTTGAATCCCAATCATTGTAGTATTCCCATGGAAAAAGTGTTTTTCTTGCAAATTTTTGCTCGAAAACAAACTTTTGACCGAATTTTTCTCACTCCTCGAAACTCTCCTTAGTCCTTTTGAAAGCTGATTTCCCCCCGCGCGGGCTTCAACGAATCATAGGCCTTCATCATAGGAGTTAGCCTTCCAGTTTATTTATAGTTCAATGGATAAAACATATGGTAGTTTAAGTTTACTCTACCAGAGGAATGGTGGCATATTTTTGACAGTATATTTTTGATGGTGTATAATACATGCTTCCAGAAAGTATGTCACTAGATTTCTAGCCTACATTTGTGATTGGCATGTTGGACTTTAACTGATGCTACATACACGAAAACAAGGCTCTATGCCCAAGGTGACATACTTCCCAGAAGGGTGAATTCAGTTATGACATATGTAATGTATTCACTCATTACTTAATAGGTATAAAATTTTGAAATTTCAAAAAACAAACTAAAAACAGTAAAAAGATTCACAAAACATATAATTTGTTCTTTTAATCACATATCATGCAAATTAGCACTTGAATCGTAGTTTCCCATTTAGAAAGCCAACCACTTTAGACTTCAGGAAATTCAAATTCACATAGTATTTTGAAATGATAATAAAATAATACTTAATTCAAGTCTTTAATAAATAAAGAGTTCAGCAAATGTACACAACTATTGTACATGTTTAATATGAAATTTAATGTCACCTAAATCTATTTTAGACTCTGACAAGCGCATATTTTGAAAGGTTCAGTGGTTTAGTTAATGCACCAAAAATGTTTCAGCAATTTGAGCACATATTACGAAACGAAACATGAAACGAAGAATAACAGCATCTTACAAGTACAAAATATTCAAAACCACTAAATGAAATGGAAATTTGCCAACATATCTAATAGAAGTTAAAGTTTTATATTCACTTTCTTTGCTATTTTCATCTTGTTGTGTTCAAAACAATACTCGAAGTGCTAAAAGATTGAATTCTCACAAATGTATAATACCTAGCAGCACCACTTTTTAACAAACCATCGTTGTCGAAGAGCACTCGGACATCTGCAGGGGAAAAAGCAAACGTTTAAAGACCGAGGTTTGAAACGGCGGTTCGAAACAAGCAGAACTAAGTTTTATTTACCATTAAAAACTTCGTTAAACTCGCCCGGAGGGGCGTGTTTTATAAAGTCTTCAGCAATTCGAAGCTGAAACAAAGCAATTACAATCCAGGAATTAGTTCACTTTCAAGCACAAAATTGCACTAACGACGACATCAAACACAGGCCAAGTTCTCAAAGTTTATTACCTTCTCTTGGTCTGAAATTTGCTCTTCATAATCGGCCATTATTTAGATTTTTCTGTCGTCTTTCTTCAAGGAAGTGGGCTTCCTCAACAAATATGGCGACCACTTGCGGAAGTGGCAGCGCAATGCGTCATGGTATAGCTTCCAACCCCAATACCGGGTGACCGGGGGGAGGGGTCAGTTTTTTCGGATTTTGACCAGATTTGGACATTTGGTAAATTAATTTACTTTTAGTAAAATTTCGTCAATTTTGGAAAAATTTTAGTAATGAGATCTTTTTGGTAAAATTTTGGTAACATTTTTAGGGATTTTAATCATTCAGTATTTCTTTCTAAATAATAATATATCTAAAATATAATAGTTCGTAAAAACGATTCTCAAATAATCAGCGTGTGATTTCAGTATATTATAAAATTCAACTTCTAATAAAAGACAGACATTCATTCATTGATAAATTATATAAACTATATTTAATTAATTACGATACCAATCTCAAGGATATAATTAATGCATGAAGCGTTATGGCTATTTTTACGCGGCATTGCCATTGGACGAACGTAGAACCACAGACAACCACAGGCCGTTTCGGCCACTACAACCTTTATATAGAAGCTATTCATGTCACAGAGCTTGAAAAGTTCTGAAAAATCGTGTGTGCAAATCATTCACAATTGCGCGAGGTGTCTTAACTCTATACATGTAAAAACGCGCAAGTTGTTGTAATAAAATGACAGACATTCATTCATTGATAAATTATATAGACTATATTTAATTAATTACGGTACTAATCTCAAGGATATAATTAATGCATGAAGCGTTATGGCTATTTTTACGCGGCATTGCCATTGGACGAACGTAGAACCACAGACAACCACAGGCCGTTTCGGCCACTACAACCTTTATATAGAAGCTATTCATGTCACAGAGCTTGAAAAGTTCTGAAAAATCGTGTGTGCAAATCATTCACAATTGCGCGAGGTGTCTTAACTCTATACATGTAAAAACGCGCAAGTTGTTGTAATAAAATGACAGACATTCATTCATTGATAAATTATATAGACTATATTTAATTAATTACGGTACTAATCTCAAGGATATAATTAATGCATGAAGCGTTATGGCTATTTTTACGCGGCATTGCCATTGGACGAACGTAGAACCACAGACAACCACAGGCCGTTTCGGTTCCAATGCTTCGCCACTGCAACCTTTATATAGAAGCTATTCATGTCACAGAGCTTGAAAAGTTCCGAAAAATCGTGTGTGCAAATCATTCACAATTGACCATTTGCGTAATAGACTAAATTTTGATCTCAACAAAAATTTCATTACAGCTTGAAAGAGCATCACAAAATTAGTAATATTCCAAAGTTTCGTTGCGAAATGTTGTAAAATGCGGAAAATATAGCCTTG